ATATATATATATATATATATATGTATATATATATATATATATGTGTACTTGTACTATTCCTACTTAGCGTTTTTTTTTTGGTTTTCACTTATCACGGGGGGGACAGAACCCCCACGATAAACAAGAGACTAAACTTGCGACTGAGTCATCTGAAGTCAAGCGTCCCTGTGACTTAAATCTTTATTGATACTTTCTCACATTTAGACCTGCAGATCGATTTTCCTGATCGGAACAAGAGGAATGCACGCATTCATCACAAATGCACCCTGTGATAAATCTTCCGTATAAAGTGCTACGGAACATGACGGATAAAACAGATCTGGCAACTCTGGTGGAAAGTCTTACGAGCTGTCTGGATGCAGGAAGGTAAAATTTACTTGACAAGAGACTGCTCAGGAAAAGCAAAGTTTGTAGATTATTAAAGACAGAAGTGTGAACTGATATGAAACAGCAACATTGTCAGCATGCAATGGTCAGATTGATGCGCAGTATAACTTCAGTTCAGTTATGAAAGTTTCTCTCACCTTAGTTTCACTTCTGGACCCTTAATTTTTATCTAGCACACTCTCCGCATCCTTCACCATTTGCACTTTGGACCTAAAATACTCCTCTTATTGCCAATAAAAAGATAAGCTTACCTTTTCCCTCCTTACACTTAAACGTCTAAAGCATCGATCAGTTGGACAGAAATGGACAATTTCTCTTGAAAGCAGGAGAGTTTTGTTTGACACCATGGCCACAAACAACGAGTAAAGTAGATGGTGAATGTTTATAGAGGACAACGAAAAGTGTTGCTTCTCCTCCGATACTTTATAATCTGGCAAAATGAACTCTGATTATGTTTGAAAACTCTGGCAAGATCAACCTAAAGATAATATTTGCCTTTTCTGTTTTTATCAGTCTCTGATTTATTTAAAATTTATTTGTGATTTGAATATAACAGCTAATAACTCTGTGCTTTAAACATGTGAACGGTCAGATTTCTTACTTAGATTGTGGTCTTGAATCAAACCGAACTTTCTCAAGTCAAGTCAGATTTATTTATAGGGCACATGTAAAACAGAAACTGTTACCAAAGTGCTTAACAAAAAGATCACAGCATCAAATAAAAAGTAGCGAGATATATTTACAGCACATGGAATAAAAATATAAAACACAAAACATAATTAGAAACAATGAAATACTAAATCAGATCTGATGACCTTGTGTTAAATAGGATGAACACCGTCAGCAGAGGTGGATTGTATGTACACAGGCGCCATCTTACCGGAAGTACTTTGTATGTACTGATCAAAACCCATAAATCTTTATAGTGATGTCACTGCTTGGAGAGGAGAGCTGGAAAATACAGTTGTTTATCGGCCCACCGGACATCAATCACCTTCATTTTATTACCGTATTTTTTGGACTATAAGGCGCACTTAAAATCCTTTAATTTTCTCAAAAAATTAACAGTGAGCCTTATAATCTGGTGCACCTTATATATTAATTCTCATTGTGCTTACTGACCTCAAACCGATTTTATGTGGTGCACGGCGCTCAAAAATCTGCCAAAATGTTTTAGTTTTGCTTAATGCGTCTTATAGTCCAAAAAATACGGTATTCTCCTCTGATCTTTGTAGCATTAATAAAACAGTCCACATGAATTTTGGACGATTGTTGAGACGTGTAAGCTCTGGATAGCAGTCAGGACCAAATGATGCAGAAAATCTAATTTAATGGAGAAAACCTGAACTGTGCACGTGTTGGTGACTACGAGCCACCAACACATGACCATGATGATGGTTCTCGGTGGCGTAAAGGTGGACTGTTCTGAGTCTTTGTTTCATGCTGAAGATTTCAAGTAGGAGTCTCGTTCATAATGAATGAAGCAGACGAATCGACAAATCAGAGCCTTTTCCATCGTAATGGCGTTGCTCTTTTATTAAGGAAGAGCAGAACCAAAAGGCAAAAGTCTTAACGTACTGCTCAGTTTTCATTCCAACCCTCACCTCTGGTCATGAGATGTGAATTATGATTGAAGGAACAAAACGCTGATACAAAGTGGCTGAAATGAGTTTCCTCTTAAGGATAGGATCAGCATTAGATACTGAGTGAGGAGCTCCTTCATCCATGGGGAGCTGAAAGTAAATCTGCCTCTCCTCCACATCAACAGGTCAGCTGAGGAGGTTTGGGTGTCTGATACCTTCTGGACACCTGCCAGTGGTTCTCTGTGCACGTCCCACTGAGAGCGACCAGGGCAGACCCAGAACTTGCAGGAGGGATTGTTCATCCTGTGTGACCAGGGAACACCTTGGGAGTTCCCAGGAGGAGCAGGAGAGAGTTGCTGTGGACAGGGATGTCTCTCTTCTTCACCTGTTGTCATCGCAACGCAATAAATAGATAAGAGGAGGGGATGGATGGATGGATGGATGGATGGATGGATGGATGGATGGATGGATGGATGGATGGATGGATGGATGGAAACCCATAACGGTTAAAGCTTCATTTCTCAACAGAATGGATCTGATTTAAAAGTAATTTAAAACTCTGGCGTGAAAAGCCGCGGGCGATACGCATTCATTCAAACAGTGCTTGACCTTGAATTTAAGAGCGCGTTCAAACTGCGCCTTGATCTGGTTTGGGTCACCCCCCCCCCTCCCTCCTCCCCCCCTCCCTCCCTCCACCTCCCTCCTCCGTCACTCGGCTGCAGACACAGCGTGGGGCTGCAGACTTTTCAGGGAGGAGACGGGTGGGCATCAAGGTAAGGTGGGAGACAAGAAAGGAGGGGTCTCGTGTCACCCCCACGCACCCATCAGCCCCACTTTAAAGGCTCGTTGTCTGTGCGCGGATAAGACACCACTCCACGCCAATAGATCGGAAGGTATTTATGTAATCCGGCCGCAAACCGAGCAGACCCGAGAGACTGACAGGCTGTCCGCGTATAAGAGGGTGGAGGTGGAAGGAGCCTCAGAGCCTCCACACTCTGGATGTAGGAGCCCAAGTGGACTTAAGCAGTGGGGTATTTTTATTTTTACGCACAGGGTTTGCAGGAAATAGACTCCTGCCATTCACCTCATCCTCAAAAACTTTTTGTTTGCAGTTTTGTTTTGTTTTGTTTATAGCCCGGATACTTGTCAGAATTTGAAAAGCATAATATTCAGGTAAGTTGTGCTTCATTTGTATTTGTACGGATTTTTATTCCTTTGAGTTTGTGCGTACACTCTTTGAGGATGCATCATTATCAGTCCATGTGTTGCTGCGTGACTTCTATTGGCAGCTCTGATTAGTCCTCAAATAACTAAGAAACAAAAAGTCCAAACTCGACATTGAGCCCTGGGTGTTAAGGAAGATGAACCCCCCAAAAAAGAAAACTAATAAAAATGTATTTGTTTTATGAAGGAACTATGATTCTCAGGAGAAGTCTCTTCTTGTTGCTTCTGTCTACATTCCATCAAGTAGCACCTCAAGGTGAGTGGAAATATGTGGGTTATTAGTAAATCAGTGCTACAAGCTGTTTTATTCCATCGTGCTCATAATGATTTTAAAATGACATCATGTTTTTTTTTTCCATTTTTAATGATTTGAAAAAGCTTACATCCCAACTAACGTGTCTGTATATTCTTGGTTTCTCTGATTTTCAAGATGGAGAGCAGGAGGACGAGATGTCTTTCGACTTGTTCGAAATAAGCCACATCACACGCAAGACTCTAGGGGCCAAAACTTTCCGGGGCCCAAACTCTGATGCCCCTGCCTACCGCTTCATCCGCTTTGACCACCTGCCTCCAGTCAGCGCCCCCATCCTGAAACAAATCCTCCGGCAGATCCAAAACAACGAGGGCTTCGTGTTCGTCGCCAGCATCCGGCAGGATCGGTCCTCGCGGGGGACCCTGATCGGCCTGGAGGGCCCCGATGGTCGGAGGCAGTTCGAGATTGTGTCCAACGGCCGCGCCAACACTCTGGATCTGATATACTGGGTGGACGGCTCGCAGAACGTGGTCTCGTTCGAGGACGTGGACCTGTCGGACTCGCAGTGGAAGAACATCACGCTTCACGTTCACGGGGAGAACGCAAACCTGTTCGTGGGCTGCAGCCTGATCGACAGCTTCATCCTGGACGAGCCGTTCTACGAACATCTGCAGGCCGAGGGAAGCCGGATGTATGTGGCAAAGGGATCCATTCGGGAGAACCACTTCAGGGTAAGACACAGGTTCTGAGCTGGTCAAAGACTAGCCAGAACGTGAGAACCATCTTTGTCACCTGATAAGAAACCAAATCATGGTCTTTACATAGCATCTAAATACAGCCCGACTTAAACAACCGGTTCAAAACCTAACAAAGTCTTTCTTTAGCATATGGCAGGGTGGCTCTCTATTACTAAAGCCTTTTTGTCTGGGAAAGACTCCTAAATTACACTCTATATTTTCCTGTGGTTGTTAAAATGAGGTTGGATGAGTGCACAAGGAAGTTTCCATGCTGGATTCTGACTGAACTCTTCTAAATAAATAAACCTATGTTCCATCTAAAATGAGTTTCTTGCACACCAGGGTCTTCTTCAGAACGTGCGTTTCATCTTTGACACCTCGTTGGAAGATATCCTCCAGAGCAGAGACTGCGAGGTGACTAAACAAGGTGAGAGCAGAGTGTTTATTTGAAGTCTGTTTAGTGGGTAATTACCCTAAATGTTCCAGTTAAAAGAGCATTTATCCAGAGTTCCCTAATGCACTGTAAAAGTTGCCTTTTGCGTGTCGTTTGCAGAGCCCAGAATGAGTCAAACGTATTGTAACTGCACCAGTTGTGAGTGTGATACCTTGCAGATGTGATTTGGAAACTCTTTCACATGCAAACCCCCTACAGATAATATCTGTATTTTGTTAAGTATGAGGCTAACACAATCTCCTGACTCATGATTTTTGCTTGCTTTTATTAATAAAAAAGAAGAAGAAGAAGAAGAAAAACAGCTTTGATATGTGGCGAGATCTCCCACCATCTTCGTGCTCGTGCAGACAGCAGAGTGGACGCAGAGGCTTGAGGTTGAACAGTGAACGAAAAGTAATACAGATGCTTACATTTATTTTCACTGGCAGAGGTCTTGGGATAATATCCTGGGAAAGAAAATAGAAAAAGGGCGAGTTGAAGGCTATGCTGCAGATCAGAGCGCTTCCACTTCCAGCTGCTCACACACGTACACGCTGAGGTCATAAATTGGCCGAATGGGTTGCTTTTCTCAGCTGAAGCTTGGCTCACATGATCACCAAAGACCCGGTGATCCTTAGCAGGGCTAACAAAACGAGACGCTTCAGCTACAATTATAAAAAATGTGCGACTTTGGTTTGTTTAGACAAAGTGAATCTGTACAGACTGGATGTTCTAGTGTCTCTCACAGTGGTTGTTGCATATTTGTTGCTATAAGAAGGGCTGGATTCCAGTTAAAGAAGTATATTTGTTCAACAAATGTCACCACTGTTTAAATCATTGGGATAGTTCAAATCTTTTGAAGTAGTGGCCTGTGGAAAGGTTAAATAAAACAAATATCTTACCTGTTGTAGATAGCTCTTTGAACAGCCTCAGTTTGGGAATTCAGAGTCTAACTCTGACTGGAGTGATGAGCAAATGGCTAGTCCAAGCAGGACTAACTAAACAACTCCAATTGCAGTTTCACGGTTGCTCATGTGAACAATCGGTCTATAACGGTGTTGTTTTGTAAAGTGCTTTATAAATAAAGTTGTATTGTATTGTGTAAAGTTTTACACCACTCTCAATTTCATACTGAGCATTTAGTCTGGTAGGAACCCTATATTTCTGACAGAAGTGCTACAGCTAGCTTCTACTGCCATTATTTGCATTCACGTTAAGCATTAGCGCTTATGAAAGGCGAGCTTGGGATCAGCAGGTTGCCTGTTCGAATCCTCGGACCGACAACAAAAACGTGGATGGGAAAGTACCTGTGTTGCATCGTATCCACCCTCGTTTGTCCCACGCTGGGCCCTTGAGCAAGGCTCTTAACCCTCGCCCCAGCTGCTCCCAGAGTGCCTTGATGGCAGCCCTCTGCTCCACAGAGGAGGCTGTGGTAGCTCGGTGATTTACGGTTGCATCAGGGAGGGCATTCAATGTTAAAAAAACAAACTGCCATATCTTCAGGCGAGTTAGCTCACTTTGAAGATCCCTGACAAATGGAGCAGCCGAAAGATAAATACATGCAACAACTATGTAATGTAAAGGAGACAGCAATGTAAAAGTTGATAAAATAATGTTTGCATAAACTGCTGATTTTTTTTTTTAATGTTGAATCTAAAGGTTGATGTTTTTTCAATGGCCTATGCCGATACAGATCTTTAGAAATCAGGGCAGTCGATGGCCGATATCAATGCCATTTATTTATTTATATATATATTTATTTAAAAGCGCATACCGTATTCTCCGCCGTACACATCACACCACCCTATAAGTCACATCAGTCCAAATATGTCTAATAAAGTGGAAAAATCCATAAATACGTCACTTCGGCATATAAGTGGCAGGGCATGCAAATTATGCAAAAAAAAGGTGACTTATAGGCCGAAACATACGGTAATTGCTTAACATAAATAAATGTGACAACACTTGGAAAAATGTGGACACTTCCAATCCTTTCACATAGAACAGCGTCCTTGCTTAAAAACTAAATAGTGAGCTTCAGTGAACTGGTTGTAGCTGCTGCGTCTTTATTTTCCCACTTTATTACCATTTATTCACAGGCATGGAACAATTGCCTTTTTTTAAGTGGCAAACATTGATTGCTTAAAATGATCTGCCTCTAATTAAATCTGTTGTTGCCATGCGAGTCAGAGTTAAACTATGTCACCAAACTAGTTCTCCAACAGGTAAGACATCCTTTCCACAGAACTCCCTCTTCAAAATATCAGAACTGTTGCTTTAAGTACGCTGCATGTTGGCTGGTACCAGTCGAACTTCTTCACCAGTAAAGTTTAATGCAAAAAGCCACCCATAAAACCACATGCCACACTCATAAAAACTGTCACTCTGGACATTAATGGACATTTAAATTAGCCTGTTTCTTTTCTTTCTTTTCTTTTTTTATTCTCTTGACTTTAACATAAACCAAGAAACAGAGCGAGGAGAGTGGCTGAACGCTTTCGCAGACAAGCCCTCCTGAGATTTAAATGAATCTGGCAGACTGAAGAGGAAATAAAACATAGCTGGACATCACTTGGCAGTTCGAATGACTGTTTGATTTAGAGTCCCCAAGCTGACATCAATCTTCGCCAATTTACATAGTGACATCCACGTCGGTTGCAGATATGTGCCGTGCGTTGACTGAATTTGCGTCTTGCTTAATTTGGAACCCCATGTTCCACAACTCCATTATGATATAATTAAAGTTTAGCTCCTTTGCGATGCAACCGGGTCACTAAAAACAGAGATGTATGGAAATATGGTTATGTTAAAAAGGGTAAACAGCACCCACAAAAGATGCCCTTTCCTGCTGTGTGACTTGTATAATTTGCCTGTTTGTGTTGTGCAAAGATCCCAGCTGGTAGAGACATTAAGCTCAGCTGGATTTCCGGTCCCAGATGTGTTGAGTATGCAAAGAAAACTTAGCATTTATCCTCATTATGGCCCTAAAAACATCCTGTAGTTAACGCTTGTGCTCTGTCTCAAAAAGGATAAGGTTCTAACATGAACCGTGATGGTGATTCGATATAATTCAGTGTCATTCTATTTGTGTGGTCACTCCATCCAGCCTGTTGGAAGTGTTCACTCATTTCTGAACGTCTTTAAGGTTTATGGCTGTTGTTGTTTTTATTTAATCATGTAATAAACACCAAGATGTCTGCCAAGCATTGCCATTTTTTCTGGTCCTCCTAAAGACAAAAGATCTTCTCTGAAAGAAAGATTTGCCTGCAAGCATTCAGACAGATGCATTTCTAATGAGCATGGTATTATTTGAAGGAGTGCACATCACCCACCGCTGTGCATGCCAGAGTTTTAAACAACGACCTCATGAGAGCTGGTAGTGCTCAGGGCATGTGATTGGGATGACTCTCAGCTACGACCACACCAAATTTCAGCTTAATACATTTAAAACTGACTGATTTACAGTCGTTTTTTTGCATTTGCGAAAGTTAATTAGCTGTAGCAGCCATCTTGAATCAAAGTAATGACTCTCAGCTACTACCAAATCAAGTTTTACCTCTGTATCTGTAAAACTGACAATGTTAAAGCCATTTTTTTATGTTTACATGGATCGTTAGCCGTGGTGGTCATTTTGAATCCAGTTGACTCAAAACGTTTAAAGAGTTGTAGACGTACATCTAATGATTACTTTCTAACAGTTTCATTAAAATCTGCTCAGTAGTTAACAAGATATTTTGCTAACAGACAAACTAATCACACAAGTGATTACATTATTGTAATTGAGCACTGCCTCTGAATGCACATCTCATTTTAGGAATGCAACAAACACTGCAGCACTTGCGACTACGAGGAAACAGGAAATCACAGCGTCTCTTGATCGGAGATTTGTCTTTTCAACGCCGTTTTCCTTCATTGATCTGTGCGTCTTATTCACGCGTTTATTTTTCAGATTTAACACACTACGTCTCTTCCCTCTCCCTTTCAGATAATGAAAACGTTGTGAGTAAGAGCACTGAGGTTGTGGATGTGGGTCCGTCCATCACAACAAACATCATAGGTCAGAAGACCGACGACCTCGGCGCAGATATGTGCGAACGCTCATGTGAGGAACTTAGCACCATGTTCCAGGAGCTCAAAGGCCTCCGTGTTGTTGTCAGTAATCTCATTGACGGCTTGCAAAAAGTGGTGAGTTGTGCAAGTGACATATATGTCCCTCATAGATTGACGTTTTGGTGGATAATATTAAATCTGTCTTTGTGTAAGAAACAAAAATGGACTTTTAAGGATACATGATGCACTTCTCTGTGTAATAGCCAGAAAGTAAGAGGTTTTCTAGGTAACCTACTTCAGTCTGAAAAAGAACAAGCAGCAGAGACGGTTTATACACCAGCCTGTGATAAATGAACCCGTTTGACTCCGGCTATCTGTGACAATGTGAGTCAGACACGTTTTATGACATGTTACACGCGAACATAGGAAGTGTTCCCCTGGCAGGGACTCGGTCCAGTCTAATGTCTGGCCTTGTTTGAACAGCTCGTGTGTTTCCTCTGGGAGCCTCCTAGCAATGAGTCTGGGCATGAACCTTGGGGGGAAAAAAAGAGGTTGGTATAAGAAGGGTCCCTGAGGCTCTTCCAGACCGAGTGGTGTCTTCGAGTCTTGTGCTGCACGCTGCTGTTCCTATACTCACGAAGAAGCCCGCAGTCGCACACTCAGATCTTTGGCAGTGGGCTAATGGACTGACAGCTCCAACGTTAGAAAGAGTCCAAGCAGAAATCCCCTGGTCTCCAAGTAGGTTGAAGGTTGTAATGTGAATAACTAAGCAGAACTTTTCAGTTGTTTGTTTTTTGAGTCAAGCAATGCAAATGGAAAAAAAAAAGTTGAGTTGTCAAAACCAACCCATGAGCTGAAGTCTCATTGTAATCAAAGTTGAGTACTTCATAAAACTTCTTTTAGCTAGATTAATCCCTCCTAAGGCAAAAAGAAAGAAAGTGATACCAAAATGATAAGGTGGCGTCTACCTCAGGCTATCACCTGGCCCTGAGAGGGATGTATGACTGAAGAGGGAATTTGCCCTTGAAGAAAATGTTTGCATCTTTTCAAGTGTGGAATTGTGAAAAAATTATGAACAACTGATATTTGATGTTGTAAATATTGCTTTACATAATTTCAGTTTGGAGAACTGATTCTGAACGAGAAGCTAAACGACAATTAGAGTGGGGTCAAGCACAAAATGAATTGATGCCATTATAAAAACACTCTGATTTCAAATATACAGTAGTCCCTCGCTACTTCGGGTTCATTTATCGTGGACTCGCTCTGTCGCAGTTTTTCAAAATAAGATTGGACATGACACACAACTGACTGATTGATGGATGAGCTGCATGATCGGCATGGGATTTTTATGTAAAATAAATGGTTTGAAAATTTTTTGCACCTCCTGCACCTTTGTGCAGCCCATACTGCAGGATAAACTTCCTGATGCAGCTGATGAGCTGATCACTGTGCAGCGCGGAAAAGTGGGCGTGGCCAAGAGCACTTGCAGGAGGCAAAGAGCAGAGGAGGCAGAGAGCTGAAATCATGACATTCTGTACTCTTTTAGTGCGTTTAGAGCTTAGAAACATTGTTTAGAGTACTGCAAGAGTGTGAGAAGGATTTATACATATATATATCTATATATATATAATAAACTACTACTTACTACTTGTACTACTATTCCTACTTTGCGGTTTTTCATTTATCACGGGTCTTCAGGGTACAGATCCCCCGTGATAAACGAGGGACTACTGTATATATATATATATATATATATATATATATATATATATACATATATACTGTTAATACATCACTACAAAAGCTGTAATTTTGTTTTACATGGTGATTTAGATTAAATTTTATGTATATTACAAGCACAAATACAAGCAGCAGTGAATTGTAGCACTTCTGCTGCAGCCTGGGGCATTTCATACAGGTATTTTCTTACATTTCTGTCCCAGTAACCATGTAATGCTAAACTGATGGCAGTGTAAAGATTAATAAAATATTATTGGCAAAAACCACAATGAATATTTTGAAATTTTATTTGTTTTAAGATAGCAGAAATTTGCTTTGACTGCGATCAAACTAGCCATTAGCGTGTCAGTCTGGTCCGAATTAAACTCTGTCTTTCCAAACATTTCTTTCAAAAAGCAACCTGCAACAGATAAGATATTAAATGTTTATAAGCGTGCCACATACCCTCTTTCAAAATATCTAAAATATTTCCTTTAAGCTGAGATATTATGCATGCATTTAAATCTGGCATTTACCACTTACCATACCTTTTTTTTTTTGCATATGTGTCTCAATCATTTCTGACTGCGAATGTGCTGCTGTGTGTTCAGACAGAGGAGAACACGGTCATGAAGGAGGCCCTAGGGAGAATGAAGGACTCTAAAGAGAAAAACATGTGCTGGCAGGACGGGCGTCTGTTTGAAGACAAGGAAGATTGGGTTGTAGACAGCTGCACTAAATGTACCTGCCAGGTAGTGCCAAATCACACAGAAATATGCAAATTAATCTCTGCAAACTTGATGGATTTATATATATTTTAAAAATCATTGATTACAGGAGTCCAAGATCGTGTGTCACCAAATTACATGTCCACCAGTAGCCTGCGCCAGCCCCTCTTTAATTGATGGAGAGTGCTGTCCTGTGTGCATGCGTAAGTAGTCAGAACTTCCTCAACACACAAACTCTTTTACAAACATGCTTTTTAAAAGAAAATAATGGTGCAATGTGCCATAAAAACAATATTCCATTGACGTTAAACTTTAATAACGCAGGACCTCTGCAGCCAGTTTGTCTGTGGGAATAAACCACATATTTACTGACACTAAGAATGGCTTCTGCGGGTTCTTCAGATGAAGTCATCTGATAAACACAGTGACATAATAAAAGAGTTTTCATTACGCTGACATTTTGTTTAATGGTGTGAAAGTGTTTTGTGTTCAGCAAGAAGTAAAAAGTTGCTGCTTCTTCCAGCTAAAGACAGTGAGGATGGCTGGTCACCCTGGTCAGAATGGACAGAGTGCACAGTCACCTGCGGGATAGGAACTCAACAAAGAGGCCGGTCATGTGATGCAACCAGCAACCCCTGCAGTGGACCCTCAATACAGACCCGCAAGTGTAGCCTGGGCAAATGCGACAGCCGTGGTTGGTGTATTTTTTTTTTTTGCTGATCTAGTTCTGTTTTCTTTTAAATGTGCCATCCAGAAGTTCCTGCCTCAATGCTAGGATAGTAGCAAGATGCTTCATTGCCACTGGCATTTATCCAGTGGTGGAAAAAGTACTCAAACACTGTACTTAAGTAAACGTACAAATAAACAGACAAAAATCTACTCTAGTAGTAAAAGTACCACATTAACGGTTTTACTTAAGTTAAAGTAAATAAGTACTTGCTTTTAAAAATACTTAAAGTATTAAAAGTAAAAGTGCTTGCTGAATGTATTACCTAATGCAATGGTCTACAATATCATTACCATATGTATATTTTATGTGATACATAAATAGTGTTGAGCCATTTTAATGAATAATGCTGCAGATAATGCAATTTTTATTTTGTGACACAGTTCACACTTGGACTTGTGATTCTGTGCATCAAAATTTCAGGGATGACATGCAGAGTTAAATGCCATTAATCAAAATAAAAAAGAGGAATGATTATACCTTTAAAAGTTTTTTTTTATTTAACGCAAAGCAAAACCAATGAGTCATTTTAACTGCAGTAAAAACATTTAAGTAAAAGTTGTCTGCCTGAAAAAAAGGAGCATTAGACACAACTAACAAAGGAATACTGATCATTTCAACCCCAGTTTGTCATCAACTCTAGTTAAAATACTGTCTAGTCAATCTTGTAATGGGTCAATATGAACAATATTTTAACTTCCTGAGACCATTTTCAAAACTTGGACCTGAGTGTCGAGCCATTTGGAGACATCTCTTGTCTCCTGTCCTAACATCATGAACTGACACATTTTAATATTGCAGCAAGAATTTATTGTTCAAGTTCAGAAGAAGTTGGTTTTCAATTTTTTTCTAGTCCAGTCTGGCTCGGAGAGAAAATCATGTCTTGCTGTACTGAATGGTCTTTCAATAATCTTTCAATAGTCTTTCAATAATCTTTCAATAGTCTTTCAATAAGGCCATGGGTGGTGCATATCTTCTGGCTGACTCTCCGTGCTAGAATCCATTTTGGGTGTATTGGTGGTGCTGCAGGTGCGCCCAGATCAATGATGTATATACTAGAATATACGTCATTGGCCCAGCTCTTCTTGAAGGCGGGTCTAACGTTACCTGACCACTTTGCAGTGATTCAATGGACCAGCTCCCCTCTCGCCATTGGTTATGTTCAAACTAATAAACAAATCGAAAAACCACAACGTGAATGTAACTTGTAACGCAACGCATTATAGAAATGTAGTGTAGTAGAAAGTACAGATATTTAATGTAAAATGTAGGGGAGTAAAAGTCGAAAGTACCCACATTTAACTTTACTTAAGTACAGTAACAAAATACTTGTGCTTAGTTACATACCACCACTGCATTTATCTAAAACAAACATGACTTATGGGAAGCAAGAAATCAGCAGATACAAATGAGTTTGGGATCCTTTAAAATGCAAAACACTGAGTTCACTCCTCCATAAATCTGGTTCCACCATAGTGTGGGTGAAGGAGAGCGGGGAGCTGGACGTCACGGTTTGGGTTGTGTGGGGTGTGCCCAGTCAAAAGTTAAATCCAAATAAATAATTGACTGAGAGGGTGTTCCTCACGCCAATGACTCACCGCCATCCTTTATGCAAAAGTATAAAATATTACTGGATCTTTTAATGAGATGTTCCATAGGTGGGGTGATATTGCTTTTTGCTGGAGGCTGAAGCTGATGAATTGGGTGTTTGATGGGTTATTGGGTCTGCATGTGTTATTGCTTGCAGCGAACCTTACTTAGGATCTGTGTGAATGACTGAATCAGCCTAACCACTTGGAAATACCACAATGCCATAAATACTGGCTCAAATGTATTTAAAGTGGGCTACCCTCCCCAGTATCTAGTATTTACTAACATATGTCTGTAACATGTTGATTGAATGGAAATCTAGAGGAAATGTGTGTTTTGATTATCTCTGCCTCTGCAATGTTCAATGCCCAGTACGTCAAGATGGAGGGTGGAGTTTGTGGTCACCATGGTCATCTTGCTCCGTGACCTGTGGGGAAGGACAGATCACCAGAATACGGCACTGCAACGCTCCTGTGCCACAGCTGGGGGGCAAAGACTGTGAGGGGAGTGGACGAGAGACCCAGAAGTGCACTGCCAAGCCATGTCCAAGTGAGTACCTCAGCTTAAGGAGGAATTTCTCAACAAGAAGCAGCTTTGTTAGAGCACCTATTGTGTCCACATGTCTTTGGATCCCCACGGGCAACATTCCCCATGTGCTTTAAACTGGCTTTCTGTCAGTTGTTTTTGGAAATATTGCCCAAAATCAGCTCAATATGTTTCCTTGTAGTATTAAGTTCATTATTTCTGTGGCTGCATTCATTCTTGAGTTGTTTATATATCAAGAAATAAAAAAAACCCAAGTCATGAAATACATGGCCGTCCAAAAGAACCTTTTCTCCTACTTTGTTGCTCTAAAATTTGGAAATACAGATGTGGCGTTTGTATCATATAATCAGCACAACATGTTAGCGCTTTGCATGTTCAAAATATTTGTTCTTGCAAAACAAACAAGAATATGTAAACAAAAAATACACATGTACAACATTCATCCCTTCCACTTTTTCAATATGCACAGCAGCAAGCATCTATTAATGACTAAATTTACATCCATCCATCCATCCATTTTCTTTACCCGCTTGTTCCATTTTGGGTCACGGGGGTCGCCTGTGCCCATGTCCAGCAATCACTGTGCGAGGGGCGGGGTACACCCTGGACGGGTCGCAAGTCCATCACAGGGCCACATAGAGACAAACGAGACAAACAACCATTCACTTTCTCACTCACACCTATGGACAATTTAGAGTTACCAATCAGCCTAACATGCATGTTTTTGGTCTGTGGGAGGAAACCGGAGTACCCGGAGAAAACCCACGCATGCACGGAGAGAACATGCAAACTCCACCCAGAAAGGCCCCTGGACCGGGGTTTGAACCAGGGACCTGCGCGTTGAGAGGCAGCAGCTCTACCAGTTGCACCACCGTGCTGCCCGACTAACTTTCCCTCAAGACTTTTTTTTTAATTCTTCAGTTAGCAACAAGTTTTCTCTGACCATCACCACATCATATGTTGGCATTTTTTGAATCAATCTTTTTTGAGGTTTATAAAATTTACTCAGTCTCAACTGCCTTTACGCATATGTCAAACTCGAGCCGCGGGACAAATCTAGTCCCCCCAAGATCATAATTTAAATGTAAAATATTGTATCTCTTCTATATTTTTCTTTTGAAAAAAACTGATAAATACATCAGGTAGTGTGGATTTCTCTTACCAGCTGGTTAACTTTAAATCCAGAAAGAAAGTTGGATCATTCTGTCATTACTGATTCTGATGTGGAAAGAGCAACAGAACATCAAATGAGACAGATCAAACTTTTGTTGATGAACCTGCAACCAAGAAAACATATTGAGTATCTGACTCGAGTTAAGGTTTCAGCTGAAAGTGGCCCATGGCTCAGACAAAGTTTTTAAACTTTGGCTCCTTTTGGTAACTGAGTTCGACACCCCGTTGTTGGTTGTATTGTTTTTATTTACCTGGACACTCCACTTTAAACCCTATATATACATCCTCAAGTGTTCTTGCACAAATAATTTCTGAGCTTCAATAGTGATTTCTATCAATAATCTTTGGTTGTTTAAAAAAAAAAAATTGTATTCAATCTGCATTTCTTTAGAACTGATTTGTTTGAAGAAGTCGTTTTTCTTATGATGCTCGTTGCTCGTCCCTTGGTCTTAAGTTTTGGACTTACGGTTGCATAGAAATCCAGTGACAGGACTATAAGAGAATTGTGAGTCAATTAAAGCCAGAAAACCCGAATAAATTGTGTTGGTCAAAATTACTCCACAACAAAGTAAGAGACTGGAAAGAGCATACAGAGAAAAACGTAATATTTTGCTGCCAAAAGCAACTGGCTTACTGGTTTTGCACATGAAAAAACAAACTTGTTTTTAATAAGTTAAATTTACCAAAGGGAATGATATATTATTACAGTGTATCCTGAGTAAAATGAGAAATGGTAGAGTCCATAATTATTTTTGAAATATTACATACAGGGTGTCACAAAAGTTGTACAAAATTAGACCTAGATTAAGTAGATATGTAGCACTTAAAGTATAGTAATGCCAAAATATACAGGTAGGTAGGGCTTCAGAGCAAAGAGTAATACAAAATCACATTTTTGCAGGTGTTTCATTTCTGTGGATATTTTACTAAACAAAATCCCTAGTTTCGTATTTCATTATATAAAATCTCAAAACAAGCTAACAAAGTTGACATAGCACATGGTTGTTTTTGTTTTATTTTTCAAGGAACTGTACATCTAATATATGACTCTTTTTAGTTGATGGTGGTTGGGGGCCTTGGTCTCCATGGGCAACTTGTTCTGCAACATGTGGCGGAGGAATCAAAAGCCGTTCACGGGAGTGTAACAGCCCTCAACCTCAGTATGGTGGGAAAATGTGTATTGGTGAGGCCACAGACAGTGACAGCTGCAACAAGGAGGACTGCCCCATTGGTGAGGAACAGTCCATACATCCATACATCCATTATCTTTTACCCGCTTCTTCCTTTTTGGATCGCGGGGGTCACTGGTGCCCATGTCCAGCTATCACTGTGTGAGATGTGGGGTACACCCAGACTTGTCTCAAATGAGTTTTTCCATGGAAACAACAGGTGCTGAACATGTCAGTGATTGCATTCTGGTCAAGACAACAATACCTCCATCTATTCGAGGCTTTCCTCTTAAGTTTGCACATCTCTTCCAACGAGGAGAAATGGTGATCTTGGGAATTCCCCTTTACCTCAAAGTTGAAAACCTCTGCATATTTAAGTCCAATTTATAAACTAAACATCTGCAGATTGATGACATTTCAGTTAGACTCAGCTATTGGCTTAGTGTTACCACACTCCACATTTGTCACTTAATTCCAAGGCTCAGACACACATAGTTTACTGAAAGCAGTTTTTTTTAAGGACAAAGTTAGGAGAAAGAATAATGATTCATGCTAAATAATTTGGAGATTAACAACACTTGCATGCCAACATTTACATCAGTTTTCCTTGTTTGTTTCCACTCATCTAAAACTCCTCTCACAGATGGCTGCCTGTCTAACCCTTGCTTTGGAGGAGTTGACTGCAGCAGCTCTCCAGATGGGTCCTGGGAATGTGGCCCATGTCCTGCTGGTTTTCGTGGCAATGGTACCCATTGTGAGGACATTAATGAGGTAAAAGTGTTATATGTAAAAGTCCCCTTGCTTTGGATACTTCAGTTGTACATGTTTTTGCTGATGCATTTATTCATTCTCTTTTCTAGTGTGACATGGTGTCTGATGTTTGCTACAAAGTGAGTGGAACACAGCGTTGCATCAACACTGACCCAGGTTTCCACTGCATGCCCTGTCCGAAGCGCTACAAAGGCAATCAGCCTTTTGGTATGGGTATTGAGGCTGCCAAGAGGAACAAACAAGTGAGTCAGTGTTACAATAATACCTTTAACGTGTACTGTATCTGTCATTTAAACAGGTATAGCCATGAGGAAGTAAAAGCAGAGCAGGACCTTTTCGTTCCAGGCAGATTTGCAAAAGCAGATGTGGGGATTTTTGTATGTCAGATTGTAATTTACAAATAACTCAGGCAGCAACTAAAGTGATTTAGAAGTTTCAGGATTGAAAGTGTTGATCTGGGATATCATTTATAAATATGACTTTCCTTGACCCGATATCAGCAAACAGAAGGAAACGGAGTAGAGCAGAATTATTCCCAACAACAAACACTAGTTCTGCTAAGAGTAGCGGTATCTGTTCTTCAAATTATATTTTCATGGAGATGCTGAAGAGATCTGCTGCTTTTATTCAAAAAGTCTAAAGGGAAGTCATAAGGAGTGCATTATAACTGTAGTACACGTCATCTGACATGCCATATTTATTAGATTTAATTGGGACACAGCTTTTTCCTCTCATATGAATACTAAATTAATTGAATCCCAAGAAATAAACATACCATAAAGCACTCCACATGGTTCATTTTGACACATTTTAGCATCTTAATCTGTCTGTCTGTGATTTCAGTTTGACTTATCTCCAAATGCACTTACTGATTTGGAACAAAAGGTGAATTGTCTCATTGTTGGCACAAAGATGCTCCATTTCTTAGTTTTGATCAAAGGCCCGTACTTGCTGTCATAGTGGACTTTGTGAGCTCATGGAGTCACATCCAATCTGCAGTTAAGTTCATCCTGCGGTAATGAATGGCAGCTGTGAATACCTTGCGCTGCAGTAAAGGTGCAACGGTAGTTCACTGTTGGATGTGTGATGGCATTAAATAGGATCTCATAAAATCAACTGTGCCCAGAAGTGCCTCATGCTTTGGCTTGGTACAGAATTCCTTCCCTAGCCCGTCACTTTCATTTAACATATACCTCAGTCTAAAGGAGGCCTTCTTAAAGGAGAACTAATAGGACTGGAAGGTAAAATATGAATTTCAGATTTTGATATGGTTGACATTAAAAAGAAAAAGTTAAAACCCATTTATCTTTTTTGGGCCATATTACTTTTAAAGCTGGCTAATGTCAGATATAAACGAGCACATTCTTTTTTCACTTTTACTTTTTAGGTATGCGAACCAGAGAACCCATGCAAAGACAAGACCCACAACTGTCACAAATACTCTGAATGCATCTACATCAACCACTTCAGTGACCCAATGTACAAATGCGAGTGTCGTACTGGCTACGCTGGAGATGGCTTTATCTGTGGCGAAGACTCGGACTTGGATGGGTGGCCCAATCAGAACCTTGTGTGTAGTACCAACTCTACTTATCACTGCAAGAAGGTACTACTGTGGGGCAAGTTTGATGTTATTAACTCTGTGGATATCTCCAAACACATCTGGAAAAACTCTTAAATGTAATGCTCATGTTAACATTTCAGGACAACTGCCCAAATCTCCCCAATTCTGGACAAGAAGATTTTGACAGAGATGGTCAAGGAGATGCTTGTGACAAAGACGATGACAATGATGGAATCCCAGATGACAGGGTATGAAAACTCAGAGGTTTACAAACCTTTCCCTTTACAAATAGTCATTTGTTACACAAAACCTATATATTTTATTTAAGAAACAATGAATTATCATGTTTGGCTTTAGAACATTAAAAACAGCAGAATTTGATACAACATCCATGCCAGGTTAGTTTAGATCTCAGATAATAATGCATTTCCTAATGAACTTTCCACCACAGGACAACTGCGCCCTCCTTTACAATCCTCGCCAGTTTGACTTTGATAAGGATGATGTTGGCGACCGCTGTGACAACTGTCCCTACGAACACAACCCAGCACAGATAGACACTGATCATAATGGTGAAGGTGATGCCTGTGCAGTGGACATTGATGGAGATGGTAAACTTGCTATGCTTATATCAGGATTAAGGAGCAACTAATTGTATGCGTGGAATAAAATACAAACATTTAAATTTCCTGTTCCAGAAATTCACAATGATAATGACAACTGCCCCTATGTGTACAACACTGACCAGAAAGACACAGATATGGATGGTGTTGGGGACCAATGTGACAACTGTCCATTGCTCCATAATCCAGACCAGGTAAAGTCTCATATTGCAAATAATGGCACATAGTGTACTCATATAGATGTTTTTTAAAGTCATAGCTTAGACTTTTATTTATTCATCCACCAGACTGATGTGGACAATGACTTGGTTGGAGATCAATGTGATAACAACCAGGACATTGATGAAGATGGTCATCAAAACAATCTGGACAACTGCCCGTATGTGGCCAACGCCAACCAAGCAGACCATGACAAAGATGGAAAAGGAGACGCCTGTGACTATGATGATGACAACGATGGTATACCCGATGACAAAGACAACTGCAGACTGACACCTAACGAAGACCAGCAGGACACTGATGGTGAGAATGGAACATTTTAAGGATTTAAAGATTGCAGGAAAACATCAGCAGAGTTGTGTTTTCTAGTTATTGTCACATACAAAACCTATTGTTTCTTGGTTGCCCATTCCTAAAATGTCTTGTGAACTCTGACTGGACACAAATATGACAACACCTTCCTTCTCACACCATCAACACCACCACCACTCTGCATCAGATCTGCAGAAAGTCTAAAAGAAAAATAATATGTATAATTCTGTCAGAATTGTGGAGAAATATTAAAATTTTATTGTTGTTTATGCCAGTGTATGGGAACATACAATGAAAACAACACATAGCACTTTATTACTTATATTAACTCTACACTATCATTGTGAATACCATCAATGTAAAGATGGTGGTTCCTTATTACAAGGCTGCTTCATATTGATGTAAACAACGCTTACAAAACCTTAGATTTCACTTTTAAAGGGATTTCTTTTGAAGGCTTTTCAGCCTTGATCATCTATCACTATATCTACTCTTGTATTATCTGTGTACTTGGTATATGATTCCTCCTATGTGCTCAGTAATTATTCTTTTAGCAGCAGGTGTAAAGTTTAGTGGCTATGGAAAAGTGTCAACAGCCAGGTTGGTACAAGTGATGTCATTCCGCATGGCTTCAGTTAAAAGGCCACAAGGGTACTCACTAGGTTGTGAAATTTTTATTTGCTTTCAGCTTTGTGCTTATTAATTCAAAGTGGCTAACTGAAGCCAGGTTACCTGGAGTTTGTACAGCTTTCTCTAACTGGAAACAGAGCGCAAAGTAGGAAAGCCGTGGACATAATGCTTTAACACTCTTAAAGCTTGTCAGATAGTGTTAAAATATTAGAACCAATCAAGCCCTTTGCACAATATAACAACCTGCTGACAAAAGAAGGTTAGCAGCTTTCATTCATTGTTTCTCATTTGCAACTTCAAAGTTTCTGGCCTGCAGTAAAGCTTCCATTAGACTTCGGGCTTCACCTTATAAGTACTGGTGGAAATTATCACAGCACAAAAAAGGAACTGTTTTGCTTTAAAAGTCCTGGCTAGGGTATTAAAAACAATTTCCTGTGAGGAATTGTCATTGTTCCACTCATTTTTCTTATTAACTTGGCAAATACTCCTCAACAGTCTGCAGACATATTATTACAATACTCACGTTAGCTGCTGTGGTTGTTTTTTCCAACTTGTACAAAAATTAGGTCAACCCTATTGATGTGTTTTTATTTGAAACAGGGGATGGAAGAGGAGACGCATGCAAAGATGACTTTGATAATGACAGCATCCCAGATATCCTCGACGTGTGTCCAGAGAACAATGCCATAAGTGTGACGGACTTCAGGAAGTTCCAGATGGTCCACTTGGATCCTAAGGGAACCACTCAAATTGATCCCAACTGGGTGGTGAGACACCAGGGCAAAGAGCTGGTTCAGACTGCCAACTCTGACCCAGGAATTGCAGTAGGTGAGCATAAATTCACTGCTAAACTTCTCTTCACTGGGCCCCAAGATGTGACAAGTCTTTTTTCACGCCGTTGCAGGTTTTGATGAGTTCAGTGCTGTAGACTTCAGTGGAACGATGTACGTGAACACAGACAGAGACGATGACTACGCTGGCTTTGTGTTCGGCTATCAATCGAGTGGACGCTTCTACGTAGTCATGTGGAAGCAGATCACACAGACTTACTGGGAGGACAAACCCTCCAAAGCTTTTGGCATCTCTGGCGTTTCGCTCAAAGTCGTCAACTCAACCACAGGAACCGGAGAAAACCTCAGGAATGCTTTATGGCACACGGGCAACACTGCAGGACAGGTAAGAAACAATTAGGCCTGTCGCAATAAACAATAAATCAATTAATTGCATAATAAATTAACATTATTGACCTCATTTTCATTTATCAGCTTTCTCGTTTCCTCATGTCTCTCTGTTCCTACTGGATGACAAAAAGCTCAACTCCGGTGTTCTTCACTGAATCCTCCCTTTCTCGTTTCTCTTTAAAATCCATTTTAACCGTCCAAAATTGCATTTTTGGATTGTTAAAAGCAGCTAAGCTGAGAAGCTAAGCTACGAGCTGAGCTAATAGGCTGACCTCGGGGAAAAAAACCTCCGTCTTGTCAAAGTTCCAAAATTCACGGTTGAAACCCGTGCCTTCGTGTAAAAAGTTGTTTTTCTCTGCAAAAAGAAGCTGAGAACTTGTTTACTGGTTTTTTATTAAAAGCTTGTGTGAAAAATGTTATACTAAAGAGCTCAAACTACATCAAGCATCCGCCATTTTGAGAACTGAAAAACAAGCACGAGAGACAGCCCATGTCACGTCAAGGGGCCTCCCTCCCATTTTTCTTAAAGAGACATGCTGCTCGCTCCCTTACTATCCATCCTTCAGGTCAAACAATCTTGTACTGCCATCCAGTTGTCAAAAAATATACTACACACAAAAATTAACCAGCATTTCTTTCTAAATTTGACAATAATTACTAATTATTGTCAAATTTCAAACAATATTATCGTTTATCGCAATAATTTCTGAGACAATTCATCGCCCAGTAATAGTTATTGTGACAGGCCTAGAAACAATTTAAATTATTGATGGTATGTTTTAAAAACTAATCTAACAATAGATTCTTTTCATGGTTTTGGATAGGTCCGCACTCTGTGGCATGACCCCAAAAATATTGGTTGGAAGGATTACACAGCCTATAGATGGCATCTCATCCACAGACCAAAGACTGGCTTTATAAGGTAAACCTACCCACTGTATCGAACAACTTACTGTAGATACACAGCTACTTACAGAAAACAACAATTTGTTAATTGTATATGCTTGTTTTTTTTTAGGGTTGTGGTCTATGAAGGTAAACAGATCATGGCTGACTCAGGGCCAGTTTATGACAAGACGTTTGCTGGAGGCAGGTTAGGTTTGTTCGTCTTCTCACAAGAACTGGTTTTCTTCTCTGACCTGAAGTACGAGTGCAGAGGTGAGTAAGAGCCACTTTTCATAAAGAGAAAAGATCACGTCAACGTTTCTGTAGGACTCTATAAAATTGCTTTGTGTGCATGTCAAACAAAAGGCTGTACGCACACAAAGAAAGTAATTGTTGCTTTTGTTACCAGTTTGAAGCATTGACAAGTTTACTCTTTATTTCATCAGCTTCTGTTTTGTGTTTTGCTCATGTGTTTATTTAAATTAAAATTATGATTTGTTATTTTTCTGTCAAGAATTTGCTATTTTTCAAACAAATGCAGTTACGGACGTTTAATTGACCCACATACGTCAAAATACGTAGCGTATATAGATTAGACCATTATTTTTTTATGTGGTTAAAGCATTTACTTAAACCTTCAACGTGTTTTTCAAACCTCAGATAAGCCGGAGTTTGCCACAGTGTTCATAAGGTAATAATAAGAGAGTTTGTCTGTTTGAGTCTTGTGTGACGCAAGAAAACATTTGCTGTTTCTGCTTGTCAGCTTGCACATGCACAATGCCCCAGATGCATTGTGAAAGGCTTTGTGCGTCAGTCCAAAGACCAGATCCTCTGCTGAGTGCTAAACAGTGGAAAATGAGTCTGCAGCACTTATTCATAATCACAGCCTCGTTACCAAAGACACGCTTCTCTAACGGCTACGTTGCACGAGTTGTTCCTGCATTTTCAAACTTTTTGCGGTGATTTTGTTGCCCAGATTTTTCTCTGAAATGGGCAATAATGATGTCCGATCTTCTTGCAGATAACTGAATGTAAAAGGAAGACGACAGAGAAACGTCAAAAGGCAAAAGATGGGAATCTCTTCGAACAAACATCACGTCATCGCTGAATTCATTTCAACAGGACTGAGAGTTTGCACACTCACATGCTTTGCCGACGGCAGGAGATATGATGGATTTCTGTTTCCCCTGTGACAGACACACATTTTCCATGCCGAGAAAGAAAAACTGGTACGAGTGAACGCGTTTCAAAAAGCCTCTTCAGAATATCTAAATGCAATTAATGTACTTATTTTACTTTTTTTAACTCATTGTATCTTGCAAGGGGATAACTTACAACAGACATCTGTGCTTTCCTGCATTTTTTTTTTTTTATTTAGTTTTTTTTTATTAGTTGGGATGCACGATATTGGATTTTTGGCTGATATCCGATATACTGATATGTTAAAACTTATTTGGCCGATAACCGATACCAATACCCATATTTTTATATACTTTCCTTTGTCAGAACATAGCCCTCTTATTTATTCTTATTTGCTGCAAAAATTGTGTAACAGCTGTAAGAGCTGGTGACATATATTCAGTAACAGCCATATGCATAGCACTTTAACTTATATTAAATGAAAAGTGTTAGATATTATTTGTTAGTATTAGTCACCTGCGATGCTGTGGAGGCTGGTTCCTAGCTACAATGTGGGATCCTCTGCACTCCTGTGCATGAAGGACAGCCTTTTTAAGTTCAAAGTTTTTGTCTATCCATGATTAGACTAATCATGCTAACGGGGCTAACACGACGTCCAAATGTCTGTGGTAAAACTCACCCAAGTGCTATCGGCTATTAGCTTCTTAACGGCGTCGGAAATGATGGCTTGTACCTCGGGTAAGGTGATGTGGGAAAAATATCTCCAACTGGGGATGATGTAGCGAGGCTTAACGTAGTCTAAAACTCTTCAGACTCTGACATCCTCACCAACAAAAAAAACCTTCCACGCCGCCGACATTTTGACTTCTTCCTCTCCACCGTGATAAGATCAGGTAGGCACGCGCGATGTCATCACGTTGTGCTGGAGCTGCAGCCATCCTTGTCACTGGGTAGTCGTACAAAAACAGCACCTTTTATATCGGTGAGTTATTGTGACGGAATGGCCGATGTCAAATATTTACCATTAACGCTAATATCGGCTGATACCGATACCATGCCGATAATATCGTGCATCCCTAGTTATTAGACATAACTCGACTTGGTTTTTCTCCGTTTTTACTCTGTTGGCTAAACAAGTGTCCATATGCCATCAAACATAACCTATAGCTTAAATAATTATGAATCTGTCATCATTTGCTGTCATTCTTCTCATCCTGATTGTGTATTTCTCATGAAGAACTTGAGTGAACAGCTTCAGCAGCGTCAAAGATGTTTATACTAAGTCTGTACCATAATTTCTTTTGTAAATTATTGAAGCTCTGCCTGTTTTGTTTGCATTTTATTGCTAGTTTGTAAATAATTTATTTATTTGTTTACACTGACATATAATTGAATATCACAAGAAAACATATTACATTATCTCGGGATTTTAAGTGTTGCTGTGCACTTTCTGTACTTGTTAGTTTTTGAAATGATTCATAAAAAACTATATTACAAAGTCGCTTTAACTATAAAAACAGCAGACGTTTGTGTAGAAGACAGAAGAAGAAGGTTCTGGTTTAGTTTTAGACTAGTTTTTGTTCAGAGACATGTATCAAGGGGTGACTGTTATGGGCTCGTGCCATTTAAAAAAAAATATTCTTTTTTCATGAGCTTAAAAAAGGTTTTTGGTTCATTTTAGTTACGTTTTTAAGTGCTTGTGTGTATCATTTATCACCATCTGATAGTTTGAGCTTCAACAGTCACTTAGTCTATTTGTTGATGTCATTAAAATAAAACAGTAAACAAAAAAAAAAGGCAAATAAGTTTTTATGTATGTGTTAGTTTTCAGTTTAAAGAGTCCAGCTGAATATCTCTGAAGTGTGATTGTGTGACTGTACAAAGTGGTCTGAGAGCATGTGAGTCTCAAATTTGGTTGTCATTACCAGTCTGTATACCCTGTGTATCATTTATGTTCTTATTTGCTTGATTCCTATTTTCTTGAAAGGTTGCAATGCACAAATTGTAAATGTTTTTATTTCTTTCTGTATTTGTGTTGTTGGATACATGTTTTTTCCAGAATATGGTAAATTTTTCTGTTTAATAAATAAAACATTTTTACACCACTTTGTTGGTTTTGTGAAAAGAGACTAAACCAAATGATAGTTTTTGGCCGCATATATAAATATCTTTTTGTAGTAGTCCCACCCTAGTTATCCAACATCTGACAAAGGCTTTGTTAATCAATGCAATCTCAAATCTCTTCAATTTCTTACTCATAAAACACCAATGTTGATAGAAATTGGCAAGATTGGAGTGTGAATCCCAAATCTTCTGTTTCAAAGGCGGATGGTAATACCACTGCACCAAGCCATGCACCACTTCATTTACATTACTTGATTATTGCCTAACAAACTACATACTGTTGTACTTTTCAAAACATCTGCACAGCGCATACAGTATGCATTATCTAAAAAAGTTGAATCTGGTCCTCTGGACATTAAAAAAAATAATTGTAGAAACGTTTTGTCTTTCATCCGAAAGACTTCCTCAGTCTGAGGTGCTGTATTCAGCTCAGTCTTATAAGTAGCACCCTCTAAGACTGAGCTGAATACAGCACCTCAGACGGAGGAAGTCTTTCGGATGAAAGACGAAACGTTTCTACAGTTTTTTTTTGTTTTGTTTTGGGGGTTTTTTTTTGTTTTTTTTTTTTTTTTTATGTCCAGAGGACCAGATTTAACTTTTTTAGATTTTTCTACCTGGATTATTGAGCATGCATCAGGATAGTATGCATTATCCATCCATTCATCCATTATCTTCCTCTTGTTCTGGAGTCAGGTCGCAGGGGCAGCAGCCACCTCTTCCATCTCTTCTGGGAGGACTCCCAAGGCGTTCCCAGGCCAGCCGAGAGACATGGTCTCTCCAGCTTGTCCTGGGTCTTCGCTACGGTATCCTCCCAGTTGGACATGTCTGGAAAACCTACCTAGGGAGGCATCGAAGGGGCATCCTTACCAGACGCCCGAAGCACCTCAACTGGCTCCACTTAATGTGGAGGAGCAGCAGTTCTACTCCAAGTGTCTCCCTGATAACTAAACTTCTCACTTATTCCATTCAGTTTATTTATATAGCACCAAAACATAAAAGAAGTCACCTCAGGGTACTGCACAGAAACATTCACATTTGTACATAAAAAGTAAGTTAATAACGTTATTTATCTCTAAGGGAGAGTCCGGCTACCCTGCAGAGAAAATATTTTGAACACTTGTATCTGCAATCTTGATCTTTCGGTCACTACCCAAATTTTGTAACAACAGGTGAGGGTAGCAACATAAACCGACGGACAAACAGAGAGCTTTGTCTTGCAGCTCAGCTCCCGCTTCACCACAAGGGACCGGCACAGAGTCCGCAATACTGCGGAAACTGTGCCGATCCGTCTGTCGATCTTACACTCTTCCCTCAGTTGAACAAAACCCCGAGATACTTGAACTCCTCCATTTGATGCAGAAACTTACCACCAACCCCGAGAGACTCTGAGCAACCATAATTTATTTATTTTTTCTAGAAGTCCTCACCCATGACAAATCTAGGACCTTCAGTGTACTGTATGGTAAAATTAGGTCAATTCTACATTATCCTGAATGAAGCGTTGCAATGTAAAACTGTGCTTGGAACATTTTTCATTTCAGAGAACTGGAAACTTGGGGTGATCGTGCATGACTGTGCTTCAGAAAGTGGAAACCATTGAGTGAGAGGGTTAAGAACATGTTGGTGATTCCAGGAAAAATAATGTGCTATTGGGGAAAAAGGGTAAGTCAAACTTCTCTCTTGTAGCTGTGTCAGAGATATTTAGGTTGAGGTTCTTGGAATCGTCCACGTGGCACACACCAAAGACTTGCTGTATGGGTCTGGCACCAGCAGCTGGTTTTGAGCCCACAGCACGTTCCTCAGTGGTTCATAAAGCTCTGCCAGAGGATGTCAACGTATGACACAGTAAACCAGCGTTTTCTGCTTCGGCAAGTATTTAGCAAGCAGGGAGCATTTTAAAAAGACTATAAACTTCTAGCAAACTGGTGGGAGGAAAAGTCAATGTACATCAAAGGAAAAAAAAAAACACAAATTGTCAGTTGTTACCTTGTGAGTGGATTCTATTCATATTAATCAAAATTGCCTAATTAGAGTTTGAATAGGTTATTGTTGATGTGACATTATAGTAAGCTTTAAGTGTGTAACTCGTCTCATTTTCTGTGTTTTTGTGAGGATGAGAACAATTGAAATAATGCTGTGTTTTCAAGGATATTAAATTTTTTTTTTAGAAAAAATAAACATTTTTTTAGGTGGACAAGGACTACATTTTTGTATTAATGTCTTTTTCATGGTGGGTATATATAAACTTCCTTAATTAAACATAAAAAAATTGATAAGACTACAATAGGGTACACAAATTTTGATTAACTACTAGGGAAATCTCAGGAACAAACCAGGAACAAATCAGGAGGTAATGGGCAGTTAACCATAACTTAGTTGAGAACCCACAGCCAAGCCTTATTAGGGGACTACTGGTTAATTACCTGAAAAACAAAGAGGAACTAATCAGCAACTAATGGGTAGTTAGCCAGTACTTACTGGGGAACACACAGCCAAGCCTTATTAGGGAACTACTGCTTAGTTATCTTGTAAACGAAGAGGAACTAATTCATTCATTCAACCTTTATTTATACAGGTTAATCCCATTGGGCCTCGGGGACTCATTTACAAGAGAGACCAGATTTTAACAAAGAGAGATGACAGCAGTAGCGTACAAAGACACAAGAGACAATCATGAAGGATACATACAAATTTAGTTTTTTTTAAACAAATTAAAATAAAATGATATTTAAAAGAAACGGCAGCACGGTGGCGCAACTGGTAGAGCT